ATTACTATATTATAATTCTTATTTTTAAATATTATTAAACAAAATTTTATTTAAATATTTTAAAATTTAAAAAATATTGATCATAAGTATATTTTTGTTAATTTTCTAGACAAATTTGCCAGGAAATAGTCTACAGTTTAAGGGATACTTTTGTATATTTTATTTTTTTCTTATTAAAGTTTTTTTTTTTTACAAAATTATTTTTTTTCTTATAAAAGTTTTTTTTTTAAACAAATCTTTTGAATTGAAAAATGTTCATATAGTAGCTGCTGCACTGTTAACAAACAGCTTTTTATCTAAATTGTATGCTATATATCCTAGTTTAGAAACTTTATAATAATATAAAGAAAGTCAAAGCCAAATTGCAACAGCAAAAAAAAAATATATCAATGATCTTTTTTTTTAAATGTTGAAAGTAAGTGGTTTAGTTTAACTATAAGTTTTAAAAGTATATTTAAGCTAATGTTTTAAAATTTACAATGTATATACAAACATAATAAAGCATCTCTTTCTGCACCACATATATTCCTTGCAAAGTACACTTAAGAAAGCTATAAAAATCTATCTGAATAAAGCATATCTGAATTATATATCTAAAATAAGTGCAAATAATTTTACAAATTGTTTCTATAATAAATAGTATAATGCCATATGTTAAATATTATCATTTTTGTTATTATTAAATTATATATATATATATATATATATATATTTTATCTTTAACTTCCTTCACTATCCTGAAAGTTCTTAGATACCTTTAAAATTTGGCACATCTTTTTTTTTTTTTTTTTTGTTAAAGGCCATACTTGTAGCGATACTTTATTGACTTTATATTGGGTTAGCTATTACAACTATTTTTACAAAGATGAGAGTACAGCTAGTCATATGTGCAACTTTTGGTTACCTATTTAAGTAGTCCACCCTAAGGTTCTACACTAGATGCTATATTTATAACCTACTAGGAGATTATCTATTTAAACCCTTTGATTATCTGCTCTGTCATATTGGAATTTTCAACTAACCCTCCATATATATCTAATTGATATACTGTCTAAGCAGTATGGTGCCTAGTCTTTTTGTACTGGTTCCCAGGCTGTTACATATTTCAGAATATATTACCTGCCAGTAAGGTGCAGGGAGCCCTCTGTTGTTAACTATCTATCTACTTTTAGAACACTAATATAGGCTACTCTTGCAGAGTTTACCTAGACTCCAGTACTGACTTCACAACATATCCCTAGTACTTTTAGTATACCCCTGCTTGAACCCAGACTCCCAATCCAGATAGCTCAGAAGAACTATAATCTGTTCTTGATATATTGAGGCCAGCCCAATATCTTTTTCCTCTGGTCTGAAATCCGGTAGCCTGATTGGTGGTACCCCTTACCCAAGGTTCTTGCCTACTCAAATCCTTTACATTGGTATCTATTTTCTAGGTCTAGCCTTTATAGTAGTACTGTCAAAGATCCATGTTACCTATCTGCTTAGAATTTTCAAGTAAGCTCTGGCTTCCCAGTTCTACAGATTTACACAGTTTGAGGACTTATTTTAAGTTTGCACTGCCCGGTACTGGTTTGCATTCCTCTGTATAACAAGTTATACAGATGCCCCAGACCTGCCAGTCATGCTGATGCGACCATAGTTACAGGTATCTTATCCCAACTGATTGACAGAATGCCATCACTGTAATACTATCTATATATTACATAAGTGATTATCCAAATTTCACTGTTAGTGGGTTTTGAACTTATAACCTACCACTTGGAGGTATGACAACTTATTTACTTCACTAAGTCACCACACTCCTTTGTCATATCTCTTAAATGCCAGAGTTATTATTTTGTAAAGATCATCAAATAGTATGTAACTCTGTATGTTACTAAACTGTAAGATAACTCATGCTTTATTAAGTCTATTATATAATATCTTAGGTTTCTGGTTTTATAGTATAGGACCTACTATTACTTTCGATCTGCAGTTCTCTAACTTCACATGACCTACTAGCCAGATCATTTATATATTTTCAATATTCTTAATTTTATGTATTCTTAAATTGGGCTCTCTTAATATTAATATCATTTGTTAATAAATTATACCTTATCTGGTTGTTCCCAATTTTGTAGCTATGCTAGTCACTGCATTCTTTTCATATAAACCTTGTTTTTAATTTTTTTTTATTTTTTATTTTTTATTTTTTTTTTAATTAGAAATCCTCTGCAGATCTTTTTCAATCATGATCCTGGCAGAGTTTTTGTTATCCTCTAAACTTGAACTCACAACTTTGCAATTGAGACCCAGGAGTACTAACTACTATACTATCAATCCACAGATCTATTTATATTTTTTTATTGTTTTATTTATTTATAATTAATTTGTTTTTTATATTTATTATTATTTGTAATTATTTAAATTTTTTTTAATGTAGTTAACTTTTTTGTCTTATTCCATTTATTTATTATTGCAAAAAATAAAAAATTACTATGATGAAGTATTACAAAATATTCAAAATTCAATTTAGAATGTCTTTAAATATAAAAAGCTCTTTTTTTTAAAAAGCAATACTGCTATAGCAAAAATTATAAAATAGAACCAAAATAATCAGATTGCTATTTGTTTTTACTTTTTATTCATATATGCAGATCCTTAAAATAACTGTTTATTTTGATGCACTACAAAAATGTATGTTACATAATTAAAGGTGCATCAGCTAGTTGACAATCAATAAAATTAGAGTAAAATTAAATTTAATTACTACAAGGTGCATTAGCTAGTTAACAATCAATAAATTAGAATAAAATTAAATACATAATTACCATAGGGCATTATTTTGAAACATGCCAACTTCAAAAGAACTGATTTTAAAATACTGATATAACTATAATCAAAATAATATTAATAAAAAAAATTATAATGTATATTGGTATAATGCCTAGGTGTATTATTTTATGATAATATGTTAATAGTATTTAGTTATATGATTTCTATCCTATTGCATGTACTTTATAATGAGACACTATATAGTATTTAATTATAACTACACTTAGTATAGATACATTATTTAATATTTTCTTAGTTATCTGTAACAATAAATGCTACTTTTTTTTCTTTAACTAGTATAGTAACTAAAAATTATTTAGTAATGATAACAGAAAAGAATTTATGATCTAGTAATTAGCTAAGCAATTTATATACTATTTATTCTTTTAAAAAGAATTAAAATAATGTATAAATTGCTTAATTTTTTGCTTACTAGGTTGTAGAATTATCACTATCTAAATATCTATTTATGATATCAGAAAATATCTAATCTCTTAACATAACCATATTTATTAACAGTTTGGTGCAAAAATTTTATTTCTTTAAAAAAAAAATAGTTATGCACATATATAAAAAAAATATGAAATACATGTATAATTTCTAATATAACTATAAAATACTCATTATTTTACTACTTAAACAAATAATATTAATAAAAAAAAATCATAATTAATAAATATTCCATTATATGATAAGGGCTGTGACAGATATTATGTGATAAGGGCCATGACAGATATTATGTAATATCCTGGGGAGGTTAGTTCAGGGTCTTATGTTATACAATATATAATATATTAATATAAAGTTAAAGCTCAATATAGTGAAATACATATTTTGGCCTAATGATTTCACTATACAGAAATATTCAGTTATCAGAAGACAAATTTATATGTTCAGACACAATTATGGTGCGAAAAATTTTCATTATTTTAGAATATTCGCTATGCAAAATTTGTTATTTCAAGCACTGACTATATATCTTCTATAATATAAAAATTTGGATGTTCGATCTATCTTTTATCACATAGCTTACTTGTATTATGTTCTCATTATTAGTATAATACAGTATATAATATATACCAGAAACATACATAGTACAAAGTACAAGTTTTTAATCTAGTATTCAAACTTGTTCTGCAAAACCGATCTAGGATTAGTTCGAATCAACAGGAATGTTATATACATAGTCTATTTTAAACTGATAAACTACAATTAGTTTTAAAACCAACTGGAACTAAAAAAAATTTCTTAATTTTAAGATCAGACTAGCTAAGGCTAGTCTGAACTAGTTAATTCTTGAGACTTTGAACCATTAAAAGTGAACCAGAACTGGACTAAATAGATCAGGCTAGGCCAGGCAGGACTGTTAGCATCTCTACAGTTCAATCTGCTCTGATCTCTGATAAGACAAGTTCATTAATATTTTAACTTTAACCTTGGTCCAGTTTTAGTTCTACACCAATTCTTAGCTATATAGTTATTTTCTCTAAACCAAAACTAGACAGCCAAATATTTAATAAACTCTGTAGGAACAGAACACAAAGCGTTAAAGCATTTATAAATTTTGTTAAGAGTTCGGTTTATAGACATGAACTTTTAAACCAAGGATTTGGTATAAGCAAAGTTGACTGTACAATACATCATTTATATTTGTTATTTATTACGCTACAAAATTTTTAATTCATTTTACAGGCAAGCTTCAAGTTGACTAAAATTTGATACTCGTTTTTCTTATATGTAGCTGATTTTATTCTTATACAATATTACTCTTAGTAGTACAAAATTGTAATCTAATATAGAGAATCTAAGTAAAAATATAAACCAGTTAGACTATTTTTTATGTTCATTAAACTTCTATATCAGAAAAGCATTCTCTGGAATTGTTAATCAAAAAATCATAATCTTTGTTTTTTTGTGAAGGGAGTATACTAAAATCTTCTAAAGTTATAGCATTAGTAATTACTATAGCTTCTACTACAGATTCTGTGCTTCCTGGCTGGTTTTTTTTAGGTCTTCCCAGACAGATGAATGCATTTCACGTTTGTGCTTTGTAATATAAGCCAAGGTTGGAAAATATTTGTAACAAACTGGACAACAAAGCCGAGAATACATTGTTTTAATAGATGGGCAATGTTCATTATATTTAGGAACTTTAAGCTGTTTAGAATACTGAAGAAGATGAACAGGGTTTATATAATAACCATCTTTGGCTTTGGTAACAGGTAGAAAAAAGCTGTTAGAAATTTGAAGAAATTACGTAAATTCTGGTGCTCTGGAAGGTCCGCAGCAATCTAAATCCATATAGCGTTTAATATCAAGCAAATACTGACATAAATTACAATGCTTTTCAATCCAATTCCATGGAATGAAAATACAAGATATGTCATTCTTTTCATTATTTTGTTTTTTATTTGTTTGTTTTTTCTTATTATATTCTTTTTCTTTTTTATTTTCGAAAGTAAATTCAAGATTCACAAACGGATCAGTGGCTTTATCAATATATGTTGCATTTACATGCTTTTCAAAAATAGAATCATAACACCATATATCACACAACATTGTTCCAGCATAATTGAAATTTTGAGCTGCTAGGTTAGTATTAATAACATTGCCCTGGCTATTAAGATGCTTTCCAAAATGATCTATCGGCAAGACGATCCCAGCTAACTTTCCTGAAAGTGTCAATATACCTCTCTCAACTGGATTATATTTTGATTGTCCTGGAGCATGAGTTCGTATAGTCAAATAATCTAGATCAAATTGTTTAAACAACTTACAATACGACTCAATGTTTTTAAAATGCCTAGGATTCTCATCAGAACCCCCATCAACTAACAAAAACCAAATCAGCTTTATCTCATTATTTGTTTTTAGGGCATCTGAATATTGATTATTTGATGCAAGAGAAATAAGATCTTTCATGTGAATAACAGATGATGTGCCAATTGACCACTGGGGTCTAACAAAAATTACTACTTGTCCTGTTCGAAGGTCATTACTTTCTTCATTTGGTTTAATTATAAGATAAACAGATGGAATAAGTTTTTGGTTACTTCCACATGTAAAGTCATGGTCAGGTAGTTGAACCGGTTCAGATACAGACTGTAAAGTGCGAAATGTTCTACCAACTGCTGGTATTCCTAGACCTATTTTTGCTTTATCATCCTGAGAGATGATTACAGAAACATTTGAAAAGGCATGTGCAAATTGTCTTACTCCTTTAACTGAGGCAAGACAATAGTGTCCATCAATATGTTCTTTTGTTTCATTATGGGAAACACTAGCCACAGCTATCCAGGCCAGATAATGGTGAGCTTTAGCAGCAATTGAGTTTGATTAGCAGGGCAAAAGGTAATTATTTAAAGTTGTTCTGGCTATATATATTCTATAATTATTTTCAAGGTTATCTCGTAAGTGTTTTATGATCCTTACTTTAATACCTTCTTTGTGTCTACATGCATCAGCTAATCTATACTCTACTGAATTATGGATATGATCGAGTAATTCTGAATTCTGAAGCAAAATTGACAGTTTTCCAAATGCATCATATCGAATTACCACTTGTTCTTTTTCTAATGCCTTAATTTTTTTGGATTGGCATTTAGCTTGGTATTCGGCATTTCTTTTTAGATTATGTAGTTTTTGTTCATATTCTTTAAGTTTAGATTTGAGGTTTATGATCCTAGCATATAAATCATGACAGAGCTGCAAATCAGTAGTAAAGTTGTATACAGCTTCCAGTTCTTTAATTTTTTTTTCTACATCTATTTTAGAACTAGCTGCCTTTTTTTGAGCAGACACATTACTATAAATTTTCTCTACATCAAATGTTTGTGAGATTCGCAAAGTTTTATCTTGAGATGAATTAACTATAGAAATTTCAAAGGGCTTTGGTCGAGATGAAGCTGTGGTCTGGAAATATTCTTGCATTTTAAGAGGCGTTGCTAAGTACCTTTTTATAATATCATCAATTTCGGGTTCTTTTATTTTTTTAATGTTCTTTCATTCTTTTGCAGCAGCATCACAAATAATTAATCGACTTGAAGTGAGATTTTTATTTGTTACCATATATTTATATGTGAATGCATTTGTAAAATATTGATATTTGGTATCAGGAGACTTGTATATATAAGTTTTGTCAAATTTGGGGCTTAAAAGAAAGGTTTGTCAGCTCATAATAAATATCAGTTGGAAGTTTATATGAAAAAAAGTATACAAATAATATTGGAGAGAAGTGTTACTTATATAATCTACTCATACAATCGTATATGCATCGCTCTTATTATTACGATTTCAAATGCTAAATAAGTTAAGTTTCATTTTTTTTTGCTTTTACACATAACAATAAATAAGTGCATGAGAATAAAAACCTGGAAATAGATTTAATGATTTATTATGATTGAATATAGGTTTTCATTCTCATGCATTTAAATATGATAGTTCTTTGTTCTTTTCTAATATATCGCACTATTTCTTTACACCAATACTTTGCATCAATGGGTTTACTAATTTCCATCACATTATTTTTATTAGGGAATACATTTTTATAAGTATTATTACTGTCATGCGGGTTAATAACAGATGGGTTTCTATTAATGATCTAACTCAAATTTGTAGGCATTTTAATAATTTAGGTGCATTTGTTTTACACTAAATGGCTTTGATGGTGTTCACCATGCAGCACATCTACACGAAGCTAGTCTCATTTGTAAGCAATGTTTTATTTAATTTGCGCACTTGTTAATTACGAGAGAGAGAAAAGCTAACTTTTATTGCTAATTTTTTATCTCAATATATACTAATTTGAGTCTATTAGACTACAAATTAGTGACATACAAATCTTCATGCAAAATAATATACAAACTACAATAGACTACAATCTATGAAGCATATAAGCTATATTAGACTACCATCTATGACATACAATATATTTTCTTGTACATATTATTGTTATGCAGATCCCTGATCACACCACTTATGTGGTTCTCGAAATCATATGCTAATTCTGAACATGATCGATCGAGACTTAGGTCTTTGAAGTCCAACATACTCCAAACGAAGTATATAGAGTACTAGTTAACAGCACGACGATTACATCTATTTATTTTCATTCTTATATCATTGGACAGACTTTTTTACATTTTTGGGAGTCTGTATTATTTCATCAACAATCTTTACCGACAGCTCATTTAGCCGACATCACACCAAGCAGCAATTTACTAAAAATATATACTTAATCCTAACTCTATGTGATGTCAGTCAAACAAGCTACTTAAAAATTATAATTTTTGAAAAATCTGGTCACTGGTGTTTCTATTTATAATTAAAGGCTGTTTTCTATATTTTGTGATTTATACTTATTATTTTAAAGTGGATGGGTAAGTTAGTGATTTGCATAGATGATTAAATAATTTCAATGATGGAACAGTAATCTTAACAAGCATTGGTAATTTTAAAAGTGGGTTAGTGATTTAAACATTAAATGAGTTTACAGTTTCAATAGTAGATTAGTTAGTGCCTTTAATATTAATATTTTAGCGGTAGGTAAGTTAGTAGTCTAAACAATAGGTAAGTTAATGTGTGTTTACGATTCAAGTAATGATAAAGATTTTAATAATGAGTGGATTCGAGATTTTGTAATATAAGTTTATGATTTAGCAGCAACTTCAACTGTAGGCGTTCATTTTAACAGTGCAAATTTGTAGCTTTGACTTAGATGGTGATTTTAATAGTATACAAGATGTGACAATTATGATCATGCTGACCAATCGGAAAATAGATTTTGTGTACGTACACTATTTATTTCTCCCACTAAGCCATACACTTCGTGATTTTATTACTCCATTCCTGGTATATTTTTGCTAAATTAAATCGATATTTTTCACGATTTCTGATATTTGGGCACAGAACAATTAGATAAAGAATTATTAAGATAGCTAAATTCGGATTAAGTTTATAAATTTTTTTTTTAATTTCATGTCTTGATCTCAATAAATCTAATGATCTATGAATTTGTATAGGCTGGTAAAAATTGTTGCAACATTATTTAGTTTTCTAGTTGTTTAGTAATATTGTGTTTTGTGTGAATAAAGTACTCTAAATGGCTGGATAAAATGCCCTTAGTTGAATAGTTTACCTTGGGTGAAGTATGTAAATGCAATAAAATCCAGCCATCTTAATTCAGAATCAGGATAGTTGGATTTAGAATTCTTAAGCAGAGTATCCAATTTTTAATTATAAGGCTAGAACTAAATTTAGAGCATTAGTATAATGCGCTGGGTACTTTGTTTAAGAATTTTAAATCTGGCTACCTGGTTCTGAATTGGAATGACTGGATTCTGAATTAGGCAAATTTCTATTTGGGTAAAACATTTAATATACTATATATATAATATTATAATAAAAATATATTTATATATTCATATTATTGTTATATGATTGTTAATTGTTTATAAAATTTTGTATATATTGTATCTTATGCGAAGTACTCTATAGTAAATTGAAATTATGTAATATCTGTATAGCTCTAATTAAAAATTTTTTAAATTGACTAATTAGAATTATCTTATGTAGGGGGGAGGGGGGGTACCCTTATAATAAATGAATATTATGTAATATCTGTCACAGCCCTTATAGCATATATGATAATATAATATGTTACTTAAGAATTCATTTCTTTTAGATTCTAAGCTTCTGGTAATTTTTGTGTTACAGTAGTATAGCAGTAATTACTAAAATTATTATGATACATAAAACCATTAACTCACTTGTTACTTTACTTGCATTCATTGTTTGTTGAATAAAATAAAAGAAAATATGATTGCTTTGTAAGTTGACTAGTCTTAATTTTAATTATATAACAAGATACAATTTTTTGTCATGAATGTAGAGATTTAATCTAGGTTTTAAGATCATCTTCTAAAAGTGGAACTTAGATTGTCTACCAATATTTAACTATCTAACAAAAAGTAGTGCACTTTTTAATTCTGTTTTTTTTTTATTCATTCTCACAGTTGTTTTAGAGTTATATTAAACCTTTCTGCAGTGTTTCATTTACTAGCTATGAGATTTTTTTCGAAATATATAACAATTGTCAATTTTTCATAAGCATTCTAACTTCTCTTTTTTTTTTAATGATTTTTGCTTGTTTTAAACCTGTTTTACTATATCCTATTTTTTGACTTATAAATATATATTAATAACTATATTATTTTTACATTAATACTTTCACTTTAATAAAATTTATCTGTTATCTTTTACTAAAACTTGAATCACAATAGAAATGTAAAGTATAAATTTATTTTATTTTATTTTATTTTTTTTTGGTATTAAGGTGAGGCCTTGCTTATATCTTTATTAATAATTTAAAATAGTTACATATATATATGCTA